GCTCCCGCGGAGGGAACTGGAGCTGCCGGGGAGGTGGTCGAGGGGGTTTGAGCAGCCGGAGGGGGCGAAGGCTGCTGCTCTTAGGGAATCGCAGGATCGTTTGGGTTGGAAAACACCCTGAAGATGGTCAAGTCCAAGCACCGGGGCTGCCCCGTGTCCCTCAGCACCACGTCCACGCGGCTCTGAAACCCCTCCAGGGATGGGGGCTCCATCTGGGCAGCCTGGGCCGGGGAAGAAATCGTTCCCAATATCCAAACTAAGGCACCTCTGGTGCAGCTTGAGGCCATTTCCCCTTGTCTGTCACTTTTTCCTGGGGAAAAGAGGCTGACCCCACCTGGCTCCAACACCCTCCAGGTAGCTGTGGAGCTGTAGGAGATGCTTTCTTGGCTGGGGAGCTGGGGGGAGCCCCATCCTGGCAGAGCCAGCAGCTCTGCTCTGTGGGGCAGGGCTGGGGGGGTCTGAACAGCTCTGCCTGTTTCCCCCCCAGCTTCAAGAAACAAGTGAGAAAAGCCTCCCCTCCTGCCTGGGAGCTTTTACTAATTACCTGTTGTGGCTGGCACCGTGCTGGTGCTCCTGTGGGCAGGTGGGTTGGACACACTCCTGCCTGCCCCCCTGCCCCCCAGGTGTGCTGGGGTGTGCTGTCCTGCTCCAGGCTCTGCCTGCACACCCAGCAGGGGCTGCCTGTCCTTGGTCTCACCTACACTTGCAAACCTGAACCTGTCTGTGCTCCTGTAGGCCCCTTAGACTTTGTCCTGTGAGAAACGTGGCTGTTGCAGACACGTCCTCCTGCAAAGCAGGGCTGAAAAGCCAAAATGCTGGAGTTTTGCACGGAAGGTGCCCACAAGTCTCATCCCAGCCCTTTGGATCTGCCTGGTTTTGCAGTTTCCAGGCTGGGGTTGGTTTAAGTGCCCTGTTCTGGGGAGGGGACCCCAGCTCTGAGGAAGCCTGACCTTGCTCCCAGTTGGCAGAGGGTTTCATCCCAGTCCTGGGGCACCTTGGGGCTGTGCTGGAGGCCCCGTGCTGGTGCTCCTGTGGGCAGGTGGGTTGGACACACTCCTGCCTGCCCCCCAGGTGTGCTGGGGTGTGCTGTCCTGCTCCAGGCTCTGCCTGCACCCCCAGCAGGGGCTGCCTGTCCTTGGTCTCACCTACACTTGCAAACCTGAACCTGTCTGTGCTCCTGTAGGCCCCTTAGACTTTGTCCTGTGAGAAACGTGGCTGTTGCAGACACGTCCTCCTGCAAAGCAGGGCTGAAAAGCCAAAATGCTGGAGTTTTGCACGGAAGGTGCCCACAAGTCTCATCCCAGCCCTTTGGATCTGCCTGGTTTTGCAGTTTCCAGGCTGGGGTTGGTTTAAGTGCCCTGTTCTGGGGAGGGGACCCCAGCTCTGAGGAAGCCTGACCTTGCTCCCAGTTGGCAGAGGGTTTCATCCCAGTCCTGGGGCACCTTGGGGCTGTGCTGGAGGCCAGGGCTGCTCCAGCAGGCCAGGGTGCCTGGTCTGGCACAGCACCCCCTGCCCGGGGCCCGGCTGGATTTTGCTTTTGGTTTTCCTGATATTTCGGCAACTTGGGTGGCAGTTATATTTTTTGTTTCTTTATTTTAGAGGCTGGGGCTGGGGCTGGAGGGTGGGTAGAGATGGGCAGTGTCCCTTGGGACTACCCCTTGCTGCACAGGAACCCACCCTCCCGTGGTCCTGTGTCCCTTTTGGTCCCCTCCCTTGGGGACAGGGCTGGGCATGGCTGGCTGGCTGCACCTCTGTCCCTGGCCTTGCTGGGGCTCTGGGCAGCCATGCGTGCTATGGGACAACGAGGGGCATCCAAATAACCCCTGTCCTTGCTCCAAACTGTGGTGGAAAGAGCTGCCTGCCCCCCCCTCCTCACCTCCCTTTGCTTCTTCCCTCAACAGCCCAGCCCAGAAACTCGTCTTCAACAGAGTGAACGGCAAGAGGCCGCAGGTGCTGCTGCAGCAGGTCTCGGCTCCTGAGGAGTCCTACACACTGGCCCACGAGGAGAACGTCCGCTTCATCTACGAAGGGGAGGGAAGGGGTGGCC